CCTATTGCGGGGGCTGGGAAGGGGGCAAAGCCCACGGGCACGGCATCTGCACCGGCCCCAAGGGCCAGGGGGAGTACTCGGGCTCCTGGAACTACGGCTTTGAAGTGGTGGGCATATACACGTGGCCCAGCGGCAACACCTACGAAGGCTACTGGTCCCAAGGCAAGAGGCACGGCCTGGGAATCGAGACCAAAGGACGGTGGGTTTACAGAGGGGAGTGGACCCACGGCTTCAAGGGGCGCTACGGGGCCAGGCAGAGCATGAGCAGCGGAGCCAAGTATGAAGGCACCTGGAACAACGGGCTGCAGGATGGCTACGGCACCGAGACCTACGCTGATGGAGGTACGGGGGGGCTGGGAGGGTGAGGAAGAGTCTGGGGCCCAGCCTGCAATGGCAGAGGCTGGAGTTGTCCCCCACTGGAGGGGTAACCTGACCCTGTCTCCACTAGGGAGGGCAGACAGGAACAGTGGTCCACAATGAGCCACTGGGGTCCTTCAGGCAAGACGCAGGGTCTTTGGGCTCAAGCACCTCATAAAGAGGTGTGTGTGCCCTGATCCCTGCTGTCAGGGGCAGCATGTGCAGCTTGGCCGCCTGCAGACACCAGGAGTGCCCCCACCACCTCTGCTCGGGAGTGTCTGTACCAATAGTTAACACCAACCAACTTGATCTGTGCAGCCTGGGACTCCTGGTTCTCCAGGGAATGGTTACTTCAGTCCCCCTCTGAATCAAACCACAAACTCCTTGCTGGTGTGTGACCACTGCAAGCCCTTCACTCGCTGGTCAGTGAGCTGGGAATGTTTTCACATTGGATATAAGCCACCCACAGCCTCGTGGCGTGCCATGCCTATGCATTTAAAACTCCTTGTGTGCCTCTGACAGGCTGCCTGGACATCTGTTTGCTGAACAGTTTTGGTTGAGTTCATCTAAGCTGTTGAGAATTTAAGCCTTCCCCTAAAATAAAGTTCCTTGGAAGCTCTCAGCCCCCACTAGCACACAAATGCACTGCATAGCCAGATATTTGTTGTGCTCTGTAAATGCTCAGCCGAACTGTGTTCCTGCATTAGTGGCAATTTTGGGGTTAGAAACATTGCAAGAATCCCTGTGCAAGTAATTCTGTAGCTCTTCAGTACTGTAATGTTCCAGGCTGCCATATTTAGGATAGCTAAATAGAGAGGGTGATTTGAAAGAAATACCCTTCAAAATATGGATCAGAATTGCATCTATATTTATCTGGGACAGGCAATGGAGTTAGTTTGTGAAGAATAATAGCAGTTGGGGGGCTGGGAGGGTGAGGAAGAGTCTGGGGCCCAGCCTGCAATGGCAGAGGCTGGGAGTTGTCCCCACTGGAGGGGTAACCTGACCCTGTCTCCACTAGGGAGGGCAGACAGGAACAGTGGTCCACAATGAGCCACTGGGGTCCTTCAGGCAAGACGCAGGGTCTTTGGGCTCAAGCACCTCATAAAGAGGTGTGTGTGCCCTGATCCCTGCTGTCAGGGGCAGCATGTGCAGCTTGGCCGCCTGCAGACACCAGGGGTGCCCCCACCACCTCTGCTCGGGAGTGTCTGTACCAATAGTTAACACCAACCAACTTGATCTGTGCAGCCTGGGACTCCTGGTTCTCCAGGGAATGGTTACTTCAGTCCCCCTCTGAATCAAACCACAAACTCCTTGCTGGTGTGTGACCACTGCAAGCCCTTCACTCGCTGGTCAGTGAGCTGGGAATGTTTTCACATTGGATATAAGCCACCCACAGCCTCGTGGCGTGCCATGCCTATGCATTTAAAACTCCTTGTGTGCCTCTGACAGGCTGCCTGGACATCTGTTTGCTGAACAGTTTTGGTTGAGTTCATCTAAGCTGTTGAGAATTTAAGCCTTCCCCTAAAATAAAGTTCCTTGGAAGCTCTCAGCCCCCACTAGCACACAAATGCACTGCATAGCCAGATATTTGTTGTGCTCTGTAAATGCTCAGCCGAACTGTGTTCCTGCATTAGTGGCAATTTTGGGGTTAGAAACATTGCAAGAATCCCTGTGCAAGTAATTCTGTAGCTCTTCAGTACTGTAATGTTCCAGGCTGCCATATTTAGGATAGCTAAATAGAGAGGGTGATTTGAAAGAAATACCCTTCAAAATATGGATCAGAATTGCATCTATATTTATCTGGGACAGGCAATGGAGTTAGTTTGTGAAGAATAATAGCAGTAATGGTATAACTCTTCAAAATCAAAAGCATTTGGTTTATGAAGATTAGAAAAATGGACTCATTCAAGACTGGCTGTCAGGATTGTGCATGTACAGAAATATTTCTTGAAGAGTTGCCTGAGTCCATGGCTAACTTTAAGCCTGGGAGTATAGTTTTGAAGTTGAATCATTCTCTTTGTGCCTTTGGAGGTTGTAGGTACAGCCAGGAACCTGACATTTTCTGCCCTGCTCTGCCCTGTGGCTGTGGAGCAGCTCAGCCCTGAGCTGTGCAGGGTGCAGTGGGAGCTCAGGCTGGTGCACGTGCGGGCACTAGTGCCTTGCAGCAACTTCACGTGTGGCTGCAGGACGTGTAGGTGACACGTAGGATGTGCTCTGGTGAGTAATGAGCAGCGATCAGGTAACTGTCAGCAACAGCTGCTGTTGGCATTTCCATTCTGGACATGTCAAGGTCTCCTATGAATTTGCAGGGTTGTTTCCTTGCTGCTTCCTAAACCACATTTTTTTTTCTAAGGGTGCAGAGTGACTGGATTATGAGCTAATTGTTGAGGAGACTTTCGAGAAGCCAAACTTGACATGGGAGTTTGAATTGGATTAGATCATGATCACTGAAAGCTTGGGACAGAAGAGGGGGAGAGATGAGTCAAGATTTTCTCCTGGAAGGATATAGAAGGTGTTGCTTTGGTCAGCACAGTGCTCCCTGGAGGGCTGTCCCACACCCGAGAATGTGCTGTCTGCGTCATCCCGGTGCCACCTGAGGCTGCTGGTTTAGCCCTGATCTGTGAAGATGTGCCTGGCCAAAGCCACCCTAGGCAGCCCTGAGCTGAGCCCCCCCAGATCCAGCCAGACCTGGCTCATGGACCTGTGCCATGGTGCCCAGCAGCTGCTCCTTGCGTTGGGCTGCCACTGCTCATTCAACCCATGAGCTTCTCTGATGGTCTGGGAATGAGTAGGAAGCTGCATCCAGAGCTAAAGTGGGAACCACCGGCCACTATCGTGTGTGTAGGACTTGTAGGACCTGCTCCTGTTTGTCTCTTCACTTGTACCCAGTAACTAATTGGACCTGTTGATACTTGAAGCTGAGTTTGCCCAGATTAACATCTGGACAGGCTTTGGAAATCTGCTGTCCCTTGAGTAGGGGATGTGATTCCCAAACCTCCTGGAAGTCAGCCACGCAAGGAAGAGGGCTCTGGGAACAGGCAGCTTTTGCCAGATCATTGAAGCTTCAGGTCATGGTTAGGCCGTCTATGGGTTTCAGCTGATTATAATGTTTTAAAATAGACTTTAAATTAACTTTTTTTTGTATATATATTATGTACATCACATAGAAACATCACATGTACACATAGAAACTTTATACTTTAAAATACACTCACAAGTCACAGGCAACCCTGTACGTATATGTTATCTTATGGCTGGCTGAGGTTGGTGTTTAAATAAAGCCCAAAACTGGAGTGAGGTTTTTTTAATCCCATACAGATTTTTGATGTCTAATAGGAGGTGAATTCATGGTTTAGCTCAGGCACCAGGTGGGTCATTCTCATTTTCTCTCAGCTTAAAGAGCTTGCCTTCTCTAATGCTGATTGCAATCAACCAAGGGCTTCAGAGCTTCTGGTGTGGCCAGGCAGAGACAGTAACACTGTGGTCTATTTCCTTGGGTTTCCAAGCTGAAGGTGTGTGTGTGGTTACCAGCAAAGAGCTCAGAGCCCTTTATGGAAGGAAGATGTACTCTAAGAGAAAACAGTGGTGTCAGTTAACTGCATGTGGAAACAATTAGACCATTCTGTGATCACAAGACCACAAGAAAGAGGAAAAGAAATGCAGAAGTTGGAGATATTAAAGGGTTGATGTGGGGCAGTGCTAGGCTTCAGGTGCCTGGGGTAGGGAAGGGCAGGTGGGAAGG